AACCCCTCACGAAAGCTGTGCTTTTGGAAATGCTCTGATCCAAAAGTTTAGGCATCACCATGTGTCCCTCGTTAGACTTGTTTAGATCAGTTTCTCTAGCTCTTAACACAGCCATGTAGAGGACAGACTCAACAGACGTCAGGACGAAGAGATAATCATCGTTATTCACTTCTTCCTGAATGTTGCATATGCTTCTAAAATATAAACATAGTGGTAAGTTCTAGTTTGGAAATCTTTTAGTAATTTCGGAATCATAAGAGAACATTTTTACATCCAGACAAACAATTTACAACCTTTCTTTTGCGCTCCGAAAATGCCACACTTGAATTAATAATCAAAATGCAAGTATACAATTAAATAATAAGAATTTAAAAAGCGTGCACAAATAATTTATTTAAATAAGCAATTAACTAAATGCGTTGTTTAATTTTGTATTTAATTGTATTTGTTTTTATTTCATAAAAGGCATTTGCAATTTTTTTAGATACTTCTTTTATTTTAATTGTTACTGCAACACCCCATGAATATATCTGGCAGCCCTACTCATGAGTTAACTAGAGAAATACTATGATCCATTTGCAGTCTAAATAATTCTATTGTGAACTGTAACACAGAAACCACGACATAATTAAGGAAATTTTAAAATAATTGAATGCGTTAGCATCTAATGGCATAATATTTTAATTCAATTTTATATTTAATCACTCACTCATTTAAATAATATTGAACAGCTTGTATTGTAAGTTTTATTTTAGTAATGACACGCCGTTATTAGATTAGTATTTATTATATTGTGTGACATTTATTGCGAGCAGTAAGTGCCAGTTTCAAGTGTTTAAATGCGACGTTCTGGCTTTGTTCTCAGAAGTTAATAGAAGAAAGTACAGTTTGGCAAGAAGCAGCTCATATGTGCCTCAAGGGAACGTTTTTGGAATGAAAGAAGATTTTGCTGACAGCATTGCTAATTGTATCATATTTCTTTAACTACTAACGGCCTCCTCAATTCAACTCATTTGTCTTAAAAAAGTAATAATTCTGTTTGGACTTCGTCAAATAACTCCCAGCTGGATAAATGTAATTTTCACATTATTCTGTCACTCTTTTTGTTTTTTTACATCATGTAACTACTAAATCAGTTGTGTTTTTTTTTTTTCCTCCTAACATTTAGTGATTGCAAAGTCATTCTACTCCAATACAAATACATCCAGATCTGAAACAGCAACCATGAGCAGCCTGGATGGATACCAGCGATTTTATTCTGGTTGCCGTGACAAACCGACCGTCACCGGTGATTCATCAGACGCCCACGAGCTCGCCAAGGAGCCTCTCCAGGGCCTGAAATTGGCATCACATGCAGTGCTGGACACAGCCCAGCAAAGAGGCAGGTTAAAGTGCTCTAAATGCGGAGGGTCGAGGATGTTCTTCTGCTACACATGCTGCTCATTAGTGGGTGACAACATGCAAGAAATTCCCGTAATCAAGGTCAGTGAGGTCCTAAAAAAATCCACTTAGTGTTGTATCAACAGTCCCTCTGGAAAATTAATTTTAAATGTTTCGCGATGTGATTTGTGATTCAGATATTTTTCGATGCATCATCAGTGATGAACTTTCCTGTCGACCTAACTTTTTCATATTGCTGTGTTTTGCTCAGCTCCCTGTGAAGATAGACATCATCAAGCATCCGAATGAAACGGACGGGAAGAGCACGGCGGTCCACGCCAAGATTCTCGCCCCAAACGACGTCACGATGCATACCTACCCCTGCGTTCCTGAGTTTGAAAAAGACAAGGTTAGATGGGTTTCAGTAAATCCTGGAACTGGTTTTGCTCTTAAGATGCTATTAGGAATCATTGGGTGTTTAGGCTGAGAGGTAGAGACCTTGCTCTGTAATCTACAGGAAACTGCAGAGCTGCTGCCCTGTGTGGTTCATGAGAGTGTCAGCAGAAGCCATGTACTGTCAGTGGTTATAAATGGGTGTGGCTTCATAGGGCTTTTCCATATTTTCTGTAACATTTACTGTGCATAATAGTTTAAATGCATACAGTTGTTTTTCAGTCACTTTGGTTTTTCTCTATTGATTCCTTTCACTTTTTTTCTGCGCTCTTGTACCTAATTTCAAACAGCTAGTTTTAGATTTGCCGTTTTAAAGGCTTTTAACTTTATTGTATGAGTTTTATTCTCTCCTCCCTCTCAGCTGAGATGTACTCATGTTCTACCTTTTTCTCTTTTGCTGCTTCTCAGGTTTAGCTGTGCATAAATCAAGGCACTGCAGAATCGGCAGATTTTATAAACTCCTTTTGTCAACATGGAAGTTATGCTATTCCATTCGGTGTCTCTGCTTTTGTTTTGTTTTTTCCTAGGTAGTGTTGGTGTTCCCAGGCCCGGGGGCTGTTTCAGTTCAAGAAATGATCCAGTGTTTACGTGACGGGAGTAAAAACAGGTCGGGAGACCCCTTTGGGGAACCCTGTCTAAAGAGGATGAAAGGTGAAGGTCATGCTGCCACAGACTCTGCTAAGGACGCACAGACGGGGAACCCAGATGAAGCTCAGAGCTCAGAGTCAAGGGTCTACCCGTTACAGAGGGTGGTCTTCATCGACAGCACCTGGAACCAGAGCAACAAGATCAGCACAGACGAAAGGCTTCAAGGTAGTCGTCAAAGTCGTACTCTGACATCAGGGAAGTATCTTAGGTGACGTTCACGTTTTCATGTTTTGATTTTTTTTCTTCTTTAGGTTTGCTCAAGGTGGAACTGAAGACAAGAAAAACTTGTTTCTGGCGGAGCCAGAAAGGCAAACCGGACACTTACCTCGCTACCATTGAGGCTATCTATTATTTCCTCAAAGACTTCCATCAGCACTGCCTGGGTCAAGAGTACTCTGGAGAATATGATAATCTGCTGTTTTTCTACTCCTACCTGCACTCGCTGATCAACAAAGCCAAAACTTCTGCTGGAAAGTCCTGATGAAAGGTGTGTGGAAAGAACAAAGTCAGCTGAGTGGGAGTCTTATTAACAGTTAATTTAAAAGCCTTTGTGTATTATTTGATCTAATTTTCCATTGCTTGAACATTTTATTTTATATGGAAGGCTGACATCACTTTGCATATGCAATAAAACCCAGATTTCAAAATGTAGGCATGTGAGTTTTTGAGTTGGTACATTTAAAAAGTGTTGTGGCGATTTGAGAAAAACATACAAAGTATGTAAAAACACTCACAGATTTGTTAGTAATGTGAACAGAAACTAATGACGCTTTGTTTTAGTTTACAGTTGCAAAAAAATATTGCGTCAGGATTTGAGCATCAATCATTCCAAGCTCTGAAAATCAAGATCAAAATCACTGCAACTTAAGTGATTAAAAAGTTTATTGCTTTACTTTCAGTTACTGATAACCATGTCAAATACCTCAATCACCAAATTTTCATGGTTTTTTTTGTTTTTTTTTTGAAGATTCAGCAGATTTAGAAGAACTTGACTTCATCAAATACTTACTAGTTCAGAAGTTTTTCTTTTTGAGATCATAAGATTAAGATTGTGACAGAAAAACCAGATCCACGACTACAAGTGGCTCAAATATGCTATCCAGTTAGCGGGGTCAGGGGTCAGCCTTAGAGAGAGGATGAAGAGCTCAGTTATCCACTGGGAGTCTGGGCACTTGATCCGTTGTGTCCTTCCAGGGCAGACCCAGAAATCAACAGAAGGACTGTGCATCCCTCTTGACCTTTGGAGTGCCTTGGAAAAAGTTTGTGTTGTAAGGAGCGGCGTTTCATCCTGGACCTGTGAACCCGGTGACTTGATTTTGGACAAGTGACAGACAGACTACAGAAAAACCTTGCTTTCCATCTTTAGTAATTTTTTAGAGGCACATGGATCCCCCTTTACTGGTTCAGTCAGTTTTATTGACAGATGTGAAGTGAAATTTTCAAGCAAATCTCTACATTGAATTCTCAAGTAACGTTTTCAGCTGTGATGGAAGAAGCATCGTCACCTTTTAAGTGTTTTAGGCTAAGCTAATTGACAGCATAAACTTAGAAAGCCTTTCAAGAGAGTGCCAGGTAGAAAGCTCCAGTACCCGAGTCTTTGTACAGGCTGTGACCTCAGTGAAGAACCTTTTGGACTAAAAGACTACCACACTGCTGGCATTGCTTCTCTGATTCATCTAAACATCTCTTATCCTGCGCTGCGTCACTGTCACATGCCCAAACAAACCTCACCCTCCTGCCCTACGCATATACAGAAGGCATTAGCATGGAAATACTTATCGTCGACCCAGTTACACGTTTTGGTTAAACAATCATTGACATCAGCCAATATCAACGCAAATGCCGAAATACTGCATTTCCAACCTTTTGTAGAAGTGAGCAAATCAATCAGCCAAACATCAAAGTCGGCCAGTTTTCCCTTTGATCTGTGATTGGCCGGCACTGAGCACTGAAATACTGAGAAACAGGTTTTTCTTTTTATGTACAATTACTACATCAAAACTAGGAACTCCCACAATGTTTGGCTTGTAAAATGCGTTGACCAGCTACATGTATGTTTATGGCCTTTGCTGAGCTTAATTACAATCAGATGAAAGTTAGAAGGATATGATTGTAATTCCTTCATTTTCAAATCTACGAAACTTTTTTTTCTCTCTCTTTTATGGCGCTGTAATCCTCGGAAAAGATCGATCTGAATCGGTCAGATGTAATAGCAGGAAAATCCTGATAGGTTTGTTGCTTATCTTTAGCATTTTCGGTACCATCATCTGTCATGATGATCTGACAATCTACTGCAGTCAGACTCAACAACAACAGCTGGTGACATATATACAGTCGACACCAAAACTATTCATGCTTCTGGTAAATTGCGCTTTCGTAAAAACTACACTAAAAATTTGTGTCTTCAAGATTTACGCCAGAAACTGTTGGATCCTGCTCAACAAATGGCATCTCGTTTTGTTGTAACGGTACTAAATTTCACAGATGGCATTTGCACTTGAAAGGAAAACATTTTAGAACATATTTGAATATTTTATTTACAGTTCAGAACACATTTGTCCATGAGTTAATGCACTTTATTTTTTAATCAAACATATGCATTCTAGCCATCCAGACATGAAAACCGATATTTTACAAGCACACACACTTGTATGTGCAGTCGTTGATGCTTGCAACCTCCTGGGATTGCATGATTTTAAATATGACCGTGACATGGCAGTGGAAATGTATTATGCTTCATTCTTTGCAGACCCAATAAATCTCTAAAAATAGCCAGATCCTTAAATCATTTCCTGTGAATGTGGATTTAATTTTTACAGGAAAAAAGGGGATGAGTTGTAGCTAGTAGTAGACCTCTCTGATCTTTGCCTGCAGTGCGTCACATGTTTTCTTGGCATCTCCCAGCAACATTGATGTATTGGGTTTGTAGAAAATGGGGTTGTCCACCGCCGCGTAACCCACTCCCAGTGTACGCTTCATCACTATGACCTGTAGGGAAAGCATACATCAAGTCAGTTATATAGGCAAGACGCTATATATACATCCAGTTAGAGTTTATAGAATATTCCCAAACATACCTGTTTGGACTTCCACACTTCCAGCACAGGCATGCCGGCAATTATAGAATTGGGATCTTCTTGTGCAGCAGAATTCACCGTGTCGTTTGCTCCGATGACCAGCGTCAAGTCCGTCTCTACGGGTCACCGACATTCAAACTTTTAGCCACGAGACAGATAAAAGATAAGGGATAACGCTCCACTCCCCGTCTCACTCTGTCATAAACAAGAACCATGTGTACTAGACGGCGTGCTGGTTGCTAAGAAAACACCAACGGTTGTCCGAATAACATGGCATGTCTGAATATTAACACACACATGCGTGGCAGCTGCAAGTGTAAATGGAAATGTGGACGTGTTTAATACACAAAGGCTGATATTGTAATTTTATCCTATACTGTCCTGCCAAAGTGATAACCGTGCCTCAATAAATACTACGTTTCTGTATTTGTAATTTATTTTTAAAAGAGTTTGCCTGGAAAGTCGTCATTGATCTCATCCATCTCCAGGACCACGTCATAGGGGACGCCGGCTTCAGCCAGGAGAACGTTGAGCTGGCCGGGCATGCGACCAGCCACGGGGTGGATACCAAACCTGTCAGAGACACGCAGATCGAAAGTGATTTGCTCTGATCAATCATCCTCTTGCTTTTTCTGAGAAGAATAATTTTTAAAAAAGCCCACGTCTCTTTCAAATGAGTACATGTAGCCCTAAAGAAATATACGGTCACACGTATTTTGCAAACATGCAAAGCCATGCATCATTTGTTTATATTTTCTCTTCTTCTTCCATTATCTTGTCATCTATGTTTGCCATTTTTAGTGCAAATATAGCAACCTGCTATCGTTGTCAAAAAAACTTGAGTAAACACGTAGAATCCAATCGGATGTGTTTTTTTTGTTTTTCTAGATGTGTACAGATGGAAAGGTGCCTACTACAAACTGTTAACTTTAGAAGACTGAATAGATTTGCATGCTGCACTTTTTTGTAAAAAAAAAAAAAAGAAAAAAAAACATACATAGCTGTCCTTCGCTGTCACAGTTAATGCACTGCTTTTACTAATCTATCACATCAAATCCCAATAAAATGTTGGTATGTGAAATCTAAATAGCCTTGAAAACCTCTGACACCAAGATCACTTTGAAAGATTGGAGGAAAGTTTGACTCCTCGAACAAGCAGTAACAAGCTGTCGCTAAATTTTGATTAAAACCAAAATAATGTTATTTGGAAACTCCAGAGCAAGTACAGAGAAATAAAATACAGATAAATGAAGTAAACATTGAAAGGATCCAGGAACACACATTTCTGAGAGCTTTTGTTGATGAAACGGTCACTTGGAGAGCGAATGATAGATATATACAGAATAAAGTATCAAAGAGCGTTTTTATACTAACTATAGCCAAGAAGTTGGTTAAACAGAAAACACTGCACATTCTTTACCGTCCCCTGGTTTTACTCTAGCTCAGTTATTGCGTAAAGACATAAAATTACCTTGCAGTCATTAGCTAAACTGTGGGGGGGAAAGCAACTAGAATTTTCATACAGGATAACACAAACTTATTTCTAAATTATAAAACTTACTGACTTTATAAATTATAAAGAGTGTGTGTATCTTATTTAAGGCCCAAAATAAGCCAGACAATATTCAAGAACTTGGGGTTGAGAGGCAACAGTACAAAAAACGGTACAAAATTACTCACCTGACAGTCTTGCCTTGTTCTCTTAACATCTTCACCATGTCTGCTATCGGGTACTGGGCTTTGGCTGCACACAAACCCCAGCCTAAACAGGAAAAAATGGTTAAAACACAAGTTAGGAAATCACACTCCTACGCTCTATATTACAAGAGCAACATTTCTTAGATCTGGGGTCTTGATACACATCAGCACCATTGTTCATAGCTGAATAGAAACACAACAGTCCAAAACCATCAATCGTGTGTTCTTTATTCATTTTGCTCTCCTCTCTGCAGTGTCCTCGTCCTTATTCAAATCCCAGCAGTTCAATAAGTCTGAGATCAATCTCTCTGAGAAACTGCACCGTAATGTATGATGGATACGGGACTCCTGCGTGCAAAGAACCGTTTTGCCTCACCACTGTTTAACCCTGGTGGTCATGTTCCTAACAGAGTTCAGCATAGCCTCTTGTTAAGATTTTCTTCCCTGTTGTTGTTGTTCTGAAGGCAGTCACTCATGACCTGTACGGTAATTCCCCAGACAGCCAGAGCCTTCTGTTTTCTCACTGCCCTCCTTTGTTGTTGACAGCGCATGGAGAAGTCTAGAGCCTGGACCTAATAGTTGCTTCGACTTTTCCCTGTTACTGTAATCAAACCAGCGTGTTGGACCACACATCTGTCCTCGCGTTGGTCCGCGGCCATTAGGCAACAACAGCGAGACGTGTTTCCAAGATTTTCAGAATGGTTGCTCTAGCTCAGGCTGCTTAAACAACAACTTATCTGTCAGATAGATCTGGTTTTTCTTTTGTTAAGAAGAAGAAGAGGTAGAAAAAAACATGATCTGGTAATTATCTCAACAATCATTTTTTTTATGTTGGTTGACAGATGATTCCAGGATCGACTGCTAAGTGCACTGCTCCCTCTTGTGGTGCCTGATCTTTTCTTTTGTTGTCTCAAATGAATTAATCACCACCATCAGTCACAGTCGCTGACATTTCCAGAGGATTGCAGGTTTTTTCATCACTCCCGTTTGGATGCATCTTTTGGCAGAGCAGCCAGTCTGAACCTTTATTTTGTCAGGTAAATGGAACAAAAGACAGATGTTATCACAGAGCCAGACTGTCTGAGCAGAGCGGAGAATTCACTCTGTTTGGTCATGATATCATCCCACGCTGCAGCTGTGCCCCACCTGAAGCAAGATCAAAGTTAGATGTTGGTGTTTCCCAAAAGGCTGTTTTTTTTTGGGGGTTCTCTCTCTTTTTTTTTTTTTTTTTTTTTTTGGGAACGTTGCAATGTGGTTACATCTGTTTTGAGCTAATTTTTCAACAAAAACGTCCAAAAGAAGCAGAAACACTCCCACACCGCGACATGCGATACTTCTGAACTCGTTCAAAAAGAGTTTTATGAATATTTTTGTTTTTGTGCCACATGCTATGACAGTGTTTGATGCTGAGTTTTGGCATTATTTTTAATGTTTGTTCATAAAGTTTGTGTAACAGAGTGTCCACAATCTGTTTAGAAAACAGACAAAATGTTACAGCAGGATAAAATGGCGAGTTATTCCCAGGTTACTCATCAAGAATTGACTAATTAAAACATGTGTAGCTTTTTTTTATTTGCAGATTTATTGGTATCCAAATCGTTCCATGAGTGGAACTTTCGAATTTCTGTATGATCGACTGGAACAAAATGTTTTGTCCCGGTCGCGATTGTAGGTCTTCACCTGTACATAACAAAAAACAAACTAGCATACAGAGAAAAGATACAATCCCCTCCACAGTTACTCTCACTCCTGTTGAAGATGTGCAGAGATTTAAAAGAAATCATAATCTTAATTGCAGTGATGTAATCTTCCACTGATTTTATTCTAGTACGGGGGGGCACAACGGCAAAATACAAAAACAACAATATCACACTCAATAATAATTAGTGTGAAATAACTTTAACTGAAGCATTTTTTAATTATGACCTCAAATATTTAATTGAATTTGAATGTATAAAACCTTTTACTTAATATTTAATGAGTTATTGTTTTCCCTGGGGTGTAATGTTTCTTTTAGCCTTTAGCTTGCTGGGCAAAGACTAATGTTTATCCTGCCACCATGAAGAGTGAGGGGACAGTGAGATGTAAACATTTTACTGTAAGGGAACTGCAGCAAAGAGTGGCATCTGGGGTCTCCAAGTCTCCATGACAACCATTAGACAGCATCTACACACCAACTAGTTGGCAGGAAAAAATATTTTCTGTCCTACCATCACAAAGGAAAAAATTGGGAGCTGTTTGTCTTGTTAGGATGTGATAGAGATTGAGATTTTCCAAATCATAGGACGAGTATATGAAAGACAGCCTAACACCCACGAGTACGTACGGAGGAGGATCTGTCATGCTGTGGGCCTTGTTATCCTCCAGCGTGCTGGAGTGCAATACCGGGAGGCTGTGAAGTTGACTGAGAATGGGTAATGACAGTTTTTTCTTTGCTTTTTTAATGTGCAATGATCCAAAACAAAAGGTCAAATCAACGTATAAGTGATATAACAGAGACAAAATCAACTTTCTTCGCCTGCCGCCTCAGTTCTTAATACCCTGTAACACCTGCTGTGTGAGCAGGAGAGAGGAGATCATGAGATCATTCAGGAATCTGGATGTTCTGGACAGAATGTGCGAAATGAGAATCGTTGAAAAATCCTTCTCTCTGTTTGATCCAACTTTGTGAAACGGAGAACACTTATTGCTGCTCTAATGGAGCGGAGAGTACAAAAACAGAAGGGAGGCAATAATTATGAAGTCACTTATTTCGTTAAAAGCAATTATTTCTTAGCACGGGAATTTTCCAATGCACTAAAACTTTTTTTGTTTTTTAAGATTTTCAGTGCGAGATAATAATAGTAATAAAAAAAGCAGGAGTATTTGAATGTTTTTACACATGTAGTGCCAATACTTGAGGATATGAATGTGTTAACTTTGTAGAATCAGAGATGTAAAGAAAAAGAAAAACCTGAGGCTGTAATCATAACACACTGGATAATCAACACTCAGAAATACTGCATGTTTCTTTTTAAAGTCTACCTGGAGTGATGATGACGGTGTTGGCTTCTTTGATTATGTCTATAGTTTGCTCCACATTGACCTCGGTGTGGGTGCCGACGATCTCCATGGGCTTCCCACCTAACGTGGAGGTGGTGCCGTACCCTCCCAGGATCACGTTGGGCAACGAGCGGTTCATGGCCTTGGAGGGAAGGAGGGACTCCATCTCAGATTCTTATCACAAGCGTGGCCCAAGTGAAACGCATCTACTCACCACACACATGATGTACGAAAGGATGGCGCCAGAGGAGCCGATCAGGGCTCCCACAATCGTCATGAGGTTGTTGTCTAGCAAAAAGCCCTCAGCACAGAGCGCCCATCCTGAGTAGCTGTTCAGCACAGTGATGACCACCGGCATGTCTGCCCCACCGATAGCTGCTGTGAGTGTTACACCCTGGAAGAAAGGTGTGCAAAAACGTCTGTGCTACTCAGTTTCGCTACAAGGCTCGTTGTAGCTTAAACATACTTGGCATCTAACAAAGTGAAACAACAAATTTCATCAGCTGAAATATAACCGTATCCAGACCGGTTTTTGGAACTTTTTTTCTTTTGTCTGAAAATGTGTTTCCTCAAAACCGAATCTTTGCTGCCTCATCTGTTTGCTGCTCAGATGTTGCTGTAAATCTCACCATGACAGCTGAAAGCCCGGACACCCCCATCAGGCAGCCCATCCCGGTGCCGTAGCTGGAGCTGAGCATAAAGGGCACCATGCCTCCCATGGACGCCGCCATCAGACCGGCGTTCAACATGTGTCGACCAGGCAACAGCAGGGGTGCGGAGTCCAGGAGGCCTACAGGCAAAGAGCAGTTATTTTCAAAAGCCAGAAATGATTGTCAATCGTTTGTAGGGATAATTGACAACATAAAACACAGAGCGCAATTAGTTTCAAGCGCCCCTTTGGAGGTCCAGATGTCTCTGCGGAGGAATCTATTACAATCTGTTACAAGACAACAACTAATCCTGCAAGCAGAGCCACTGCCCTGTGGTCAACAAATCACATCTTACCAGAATGTTTCTCATGTGTTCCCCTTGATCAATTCACACAACAGTTTAAATAAAAGACTGCTGATAAGTGCACGCAAAGCCCCAACCCTGACCTGGACTCCACAGAGGATTTGGCTTCAACCACCAGGAGACAGTCAGTGCAAGTGGATATATGAAGCTCTGTGTGTTTCGGTGCCTTGTAAAGGTATTCGATTCAACTTTTTCATCTTTTGTTAGTTTACAGCTGCAAACTGGTGTTTAGAGGGAACAATGTGACAGACCAATACAAAGTGGAACATAACTGAATTATTTTTGCAAGGCATTGTATCTCGCTAGTAGACCAGAACCTCGGTTTTGGTGTTTCATAAACTTCTAAGCTTCAGACCCACAATAACAAAGGTCATCATGGCAAAAACCATCCCTAAAAACATTATTTATAATGGTTTTAATGTAATTACTGGTTAAATAATGTGCGGTTTAAATTTAACCTAAGGTCTGAAGGCAAGCTCAGGACCCCCCACAAAGTGTTTCTCAACCCAAAAGGTCTCCGATGCATTTGAATCTTGGAAAAGCTGAACACAGTTTTGGTCAGCGGCTCCAACCTTGCAGCTTTCCGTAGGCCACCAGAGATCCGCTGAAGGTGACGCCTCCAATGTAGGTACCCAGGTAGGCCACGGTCTTCAGGACACCGGCTGCAGGGTGTGTTTCCAGGTGAGGGAACTCGATCATGTACTCGGCGACGCAGGTGAGGACAGCCGCGAGTCCCACCAGGCTGTGGAAGGCCGCCACCAGCTGTGGCAAGTCCGTGATTTCAATACGCTTGGCGATGGTGAGGCCTGCGGTCGAGTTGTGACATCAGTAAGTTATTACTGTTATTATTCAAATTATTTGAAAGCGAAAAAGAGCGAAATGTTATCAAGTCAACACCTGTTTTCTGCTACAAGGTCAAATCAAGCAAAGTAGTCGGTTGGGCTTGCTGAAAAGAGATGCAGCTGCAGCACTGATGCATATGCATGTACAGTAAATTAAAGGGGTGGTATTGCTTTCCAGCATGTGGTGCCATTTTAAAGCATAATCAAATCACTATATTACCTTCAGTTGCTATAAAAGTGCTACATATATCAAATATGACTTAAAAGAAATTTGACTTGGTAATTGAAATTGGGCCTCTGTCGCTTTAAAAACTCCTGCTCTTTCCAACACTCCGCCTTGAGGAAGTCATCACAACGTCACTCCTCTATTAACCCTTTAATTATGTTTTCACGAGCTTTACACTGAAAATTTCTATTATCAATAGCTCATATAATACCTTGTTACTTCAGGTATTATTGCATTGAATATCATTACCTGGAAAATCAAGGGACTACCGTGATACAATTTCTTTTGATGTTATTTACTATAACATAATGTAAAGCTCAAAGAAAGCCAATTTTACATAACCGCGCCCCCTCGAGGATCAGTAATTGTCTTAACACTAAAACTAAAAGATGAAATCTTTCATAAAGACTCAAGTAGAGAATTGCAAAATTAAGATATATACTGATAAATATCCAAACTGTGATTCAAAAACCAATAGCCATTGCTTTCTTTCTTTGTAGGTCAATAGTCTGATCACACAGCATGTTTCTATGTGGTCTAGATAGTGGAGAACAATACAATATTAGACTGTGCTAAAAAGGGAATAATCAGTGCCAGAGAAGGGACTTTCCAGCGTCGCAGTGCTGTGTTAGAGCTACAACACAGAGATAGTTTTAAAAACACATACCAAGGGTCCCCCCAGTGGCCATAGCTAACGACATCTGAGACAGCAGCTCTGGCGACGGCTTGAGGGCGCCGATGGTGGCAGCAATGCCCCCTGCTACTCCCATCATGCCCAGGGCGTTCCCCAGTCGAGACGTGTGCTGGGCGGAGAGGCCTGCCAAGGCCCCGACGCAACACAAGCCTGAGCCCAGGTACATCATCTGAGGGAATTAATTAAAGAAACTGAAAAAAAAACTCAGTCAAGTCACACAAAAAAAGCAACAACCAAAATAAGTATATTTATTTCCCTGCAGTTGTGTAAGACTGGTAGATTAGAGACTCTTCCATCACCTGCTCTATGCTGTACCCAGCAGCCAGTGAAGCTCCGTATCCTCCGACGAAAGCAGCCCCGGGCAACAAGTAAAGGTAGTTGTATTCAGGAGGGTCAGTGGGACGCTTGAACATGTCCAGCATTCTCTGGGTGATGAGGAAACCACCTGCACAGGCACAGCAAAAACAAAGCAAAAAAAAAAAAAAGTAGCACCCACTTAGCTGCACAGCTAATAAATCACGTTCTCCTCTGATGTGTCCGTGATGAGTGTCAGACCGGCAATGTTGATGGATGAAACGAAGGCGGCTGCCAGGGCGAGAGTCTCGGGCAGGCTGGAGGGTGCGAGACCTCCACCCATCAGCACCAGACCTCCTACCGCGGTCAGGCCTGAGAGGCGGAACAGGCAGCATGAGTAACAGCAGCAGAGAGCCACACGAAGCGCCAGGCTGTACCCTGACCCCCTGACCTGAGATAGCGTTGGTGACAGACATGAGAGGTGAGTGCAGAGCGGGGGTCACCCCCCACACGGTGTGGTATCCCACAATCCCAGCCAAACCGAACGTTGTGACCATCTGAGTGAAAGCTGCATTTGGGGAGATGATGCCCAGAGCCAGACAGGTGGACACACCTGATGTAAAGACAAACAGCAGAGAAGCACCATATTAGCATCTTCACAGCTTTTTTATTTTTAAAGCTAGGATCCCTCAAACTGCACTCAATTACCCAAAATAGAAGAAAGTGTGACTGCTCAGTTACCATGTCATTCATTTTCAATCTTTCTTTGATATATGCTCATACTGTTTTGTAGAGCTACTGAGGTTATAAACATAAACAGCTCTAAAGCACTTATAAAGTGCCTGTAATAAACAACAATACACAAGATTAAGAATCAGGCCTCATCCAGACAAAAAAAACATGCATGTTCTGTTCAGTTTTCATAGATATCCCAAGGGCAAATATGTTTACAACAAGCAACATATATAAAAGCAACAACAACAACAAAAAACATCCACTGCTGGTACAGGACAACTACAAATATCAAGAGAAATAATGGATCATCTCAAATCATAGCACATAATAGACAAAATTAACAAGAATATAAAATGTGTCTTATTAAAAAAAAAAAAAAACTAAAAAGGGGTCTAGTCTGGCTATTGCAGTCTAAACCAGGGAGATTAAGGTCAGCAATGGCAGCAGGAATGAAAGAAACCTCTGAGAACCACACCAGGTTCTGATCTTAGAGATCCTGCAGCGGCGGCCAGATGGAAGAAGATGAAACTCGCTCTAAAGTGGATGTTGTGCGTTGTTAACGATCAGTTCTCACACGCTTGGAGTGTATTCTGGAGCCAGGCTTGCTTTACTCCAATTACCTTGCTTGCCACATTAGTGAGCCTCATCAACCAGTTTTTACTAGACGAGGTAAGGAAACAAAGCCACGCAACAATAAAAATAGAACAGAATCAATAAAACACTGATAAAATAGAGTCACTAATAAATTACAAACTTTAAAAGAGCCCAGTTTACTTTAGAAAAAAAAAATAAAATGAAAAAAGGTGCTGCTGGACCTATTTACACCCTGCATCCGTTTTTGATTAAAAGCCCAGCTTATTATCAATAAGAGTTTATACTCGCTTACGATTTCAGCTTCCAGGTTATGAACCATAGTGATGCTGGACTGGGATTTATGAAGGTCAGTGAACATGTCTTTAGTTTCGGATGCATTAATTGCGCCATGCTGTAAAGACCTCTACAACGGCACCTTTCTCAGTTTTACTGTCGTTTAAAAGACTTATAACAGTCATCAGCAAATTTCAAAGTGTGTCTGTTCTGATGTGAGCTCCTGCAGGAACTGCACAAAGAATAAACGGCACCGAAGAAAGTACACCACCCTGCAAACAGGAAGGATAAGTGTGACAGCTCGCCATTAATTTTCACACATTGTGACCGATCTGACAGAAAGTCTAACAACCAACCTACAAGATTTGGATTCAGATGAAACGCTGACAAAAGTTCATTCGCAAGAAGATAGGGCTGGGTAGTATTAAATGCAGATGGAAAATCAACAAACCACAGCCTTGGATGTGTTTTAGGGACGTCCAGATGTTCCACTAAAAGGTTTATTAAAAACAGAGTGGCGTCCTGCACACTCCCGCCTGAGGAGGACCTAAAGTGGCCAGCAGCCTGTTTCAGATCGCCCTTTTTCATTATCCTCACAAAGCCTTCATCACCAAGGAGGTGAAGGCTACTGGTCTGAAGACATTGAGGACTTCATGGCTCTTATATTTTTGCAACAGGAACAATTGTGGCATGTTTCCACGCTTTACAATCTGCTGCTGAAGAGACTGATTAGAAATCATTTTCAAAATTTCACTAAGTTATAAAGCACAATGCTCTGTCATTTCTGAAAGTGCAAGAACTACAGTAGCTACACTAGGTGTGTTACTGTCTTAGGAGCATGCACGTGGTGCTGACATGGTGGAGGTACAATATAATCATTTTTAAAAATTACATTTGCATACCCTTCCCCTTCTTCTCTGTTTGTGGTGTATTCTGATACACTATTACAGCACCACATATAGTATTTTTGTGTGGACGAGGATAATCCTACAAATAATCCCATGTTTCCAGTTAACTTTTTAAATAAATAGAGCAGGAAAAACACAGTTTTCTGAGCAACTTTGTTTTTTCGTTGTCTCTTAAAGTGAGAAAAAAAAGTAAGGCTGCATTTTTAAATGTTGTATGTAGAGCTATGCTACATTTCAAACCAAAACTAGAGACATAAAAGGAACACTTGATGGTACAATGATAAATATCTAGAGCATATGTGAAAACATGTAAAATATTAACCTTTGTATTTATGTTTAGAGCATAACGTCCTGAACGAATCTCTTCTGTCTGACTGGCGATTCACTCCAATGACTCCAGTGGCAGAACAGAAAAAAATATGCAAAAAGGACAAATACCGTCGTACTCATGCCAAGTGGCTAGTTCTGCACGCCTCCAACAAAAAGACTGACAAAAACATCCATTTGAGTGGGGATCTAGATTTGTATCGTCAACGATTGGCACTTTGCAATGCATGTTGGGAAGGAACAGCAGCTCAGCTTCACATTCAAGCACCTAAAATACACACAATGCATGTTTTTTTTTGTTTTGTTTTGTTTTTTTTCTTACAGTTTGCTCTAGCAGTGGAAGATAAAGGAATAAGAAGAGACTCACAGACACTTGAACAATTTTCTTCTGCGTTCAACCTTTCCTCGAGCTTGATCTAATCTGAAGAATGTACCTCAGAATGCAGTGGAGCTAAGACATCCACAACAAAATCTATAGATGAATATTTCCCCCCTGAATCTGATGCTTTGTGTCTGACCTGCAGTGTAGACGCCGGCAGAGGTCAACGTGCGGTTAAAAGGGGAAACTGTTGCAGCTTTTTCGGCTTCCAACTCTGCCACGGTTTTCTGTTTCACGGGGGCCGGCGGGGTCGTTTTAGGCAGTGGAGACGGGAACATGTTGTGACCTTCCTGTTCAGGCAGAGAAAAAAAAACACACACACACACACACACACACACACACAAATATACCCTAGTGAGCACTAGTAAAAGATCCATGAGGTCTACATGTTAGACAGAGAATTGAATATTTGTGAAATTTGCATTTTGGAACATCTGGACTGGATGCTGGCAGTTCTGCAGCAGGAGATTACACTAAGCAAACAGTACTCATCGACCAGTTAGCAAGGGTTTTGCAGATGAATTTACTTTAGAAAGACTTGAATCCTGAGTCGGTCCACCAGCAGTAAGTCGATATGCCCTACCGAGCTCGCATGATTTCACTGCCGTAGACATTGTGTCCAAACCAAAATTCCTGGAAATGTTTCCAGTTTGAGCCTTACCCAGCTGGAACTGGGAACTTTTTTTTTTTTGTGGGGGCGCGGGGGGCCTGGAGCTTGACTTGACAAGATGTGATAGCTCATGCTGAGAGAGAGTGGAGGACGCCAGCAGAGACTTTTACAGCAAATCAAAACCAACCTTCATCACAAGAGTCCCACGGATGACATGGTCGATTGTTCCGTAGTCAAATTCCTCGTGGGGCTCGTAGTGGAAGTACTCCTTGTCTGGACTGATGGCTTTCAGCAGCTTCAGGACGTTGTTGGAGTACAGAGTGCTGGCCTGTGTGGGCATGCGGCTGGGCAGGTCGGTGTAGCCTATGTGAGTGACTCCCTGGTTGGAACAGAAAACGTTCTTGATCTGTGAATTTTCCTCTGGGGTGAACAGGCTGGGGAACATTTTTATTACTGTACTTTAAGACGCAGACAGAAAGCTGACCTTGTAGACGTACAGATCTCCTGGCTTGGTGGTCTCGATGTTTCCTCCGGTTTCTGCAGCCAGGTCCACTACCACAGAGCCGTCCCGCATTGACTCGACAAACTCCTTCTTAATTAACACAGGAGCCTTTTTTCCTGCACGATCGGAGACACAAAAAAAATTATAAACTAAACTGAATTTGAACCAGACTATTTTATGCTAATATGGACTAAACTGAAAGTTTTGGACTTGAAATGAAATGGGCTGACACAGTTAGTTCCTATTTTTGAAGCAGAACCCCCCAAAAAAGAATATCAAAATAAGGACTTTTGACAAATAAAGTCATCTGTTGGAATGGCCAAGTCAAAGTCCAGGCACTAAATCCACCCAAGAAATTCTTGTAAGTCCTTGAATATGACTGTGAATGCTTTTTATCCAGTAAGACTGACGTTAGAGATATTCTCCAAAGGAAAAAGCCTAAATATTCAGTCCAATATGTGCAAAGCCAGTGGAGACAAACTGTACCCTGCAGCTGTAAATATGGTGAAAGGTAAATCTCCAAAGAACTGACTTGGGTGGTCAAACACAAATGCAGGCCACATATTTTAGATTTTGATTTGCAGAAAAGTTTAATAAATATGTATCCGTTTTCTTTCAAGAGATACACATCCTTTTGCAGCGTACTGTAAATACCTCTTTCGACATACTTTTCACCAGTAAGCATCAGAGCTGAGTGTGTTATCTCTGAGTGGAGCCTTGCGAGTTGTTTATTAGCAAATTAGTTCATCCATCTTTCTGACATGCAGAGTCCTGTAATCCATCTTGCAAAGTTTTGCTCAGGCAGGAGCTTTTGCACGGATGTTGGGGACCCTCCAAAGATTGAATAAACTTCAAGTCAGTTAACATGTTTGGATAAAACCGTGTGGAAATAAAGCCTTAGATCAGCATGTTAGCCTTGAAATCCATCAACAAAATCAGCAACGACTTGAGCTTTTAAAGTCTTGTCTTGCAACTCATTTCCTTTTTTTTTTTCTTCTTCTTCTTCTTCTTCTTCTTCTTCTTCTTCTGCTTCTTCGACAATCGACTTAAAAAAAACACACTAGATGTATGCACGCTTCCAAGTAAGAAACAGTAGGCCATTTATCTTTTCTTAAACACTCGAACATAAAGAGAAATGGTTGAAGGTTTCATTGTTTCCGACCTGGAATCAGGGCAGTGCTGATGACGATGTCGACATCTTTACACTGCCTGGCGAACAGGGCCATCTCAGCCTCAATGAACTCCTTTGACATCTCCTTGGCGTAACCTCCGACCCCTTCGCCAGACTCTTTGATGTCTACTTCCAAAGGCTCTGCCCCAAATGACTTGAACTGCTCAAGTGCTGCTGGCCTGACAGGAAACAAACAGTCAGCTTTTCGTCAAGATCACGAACCATCATCGCCGAGTCTGGCGATCTGAAACACGAGGCGTCCTTTTCCTTTCATCTCATACCTGGTGTCAAAGCCTCTCACTATGGCTCCCATCGACTTGGCTGCCCCTGCTGCTGCTAAACCAGCCACCCCGCCTCCAATAACCAGGACCTGAGAGCAGCAGAAACATCAAGAGAAGAATCAGTTCGCAGTTTTTAATGTGTACGTGAAAAGAAAACGCCCAAAGGTGGACAGAAGCCTCTCAATTCAGAAAA